GATTTCGTGAAATTGGCCGGAAGTGTGTCACAAGAAGTCGCTATTTGATTTGATTTTAAAACATAATGTTCAAATGGCTTATTCCTTTTGTAGTAGGTTTTATTTCTTTTTTTACTAATATAAGGTGAGGTTACAAATGTTACACATCATACGCTCCTACTGTAAGGCTCGTTTGTTTTTTTTTACTACTTTGTAACGTACCAGTGTGATTGAGAGACACGTACAGAACCTTAATTTCGTGTGTTAAATGTAATTGCCTATGGGGATGAAGAATATTTTCAGTTAGAGTTAATAGATAAAAGTTAACCTCTTCCAGGATAAAAGTTCAAAACAAAAACAATATTTGTTGTAGTATAACATCAGAAAGATTAAACAATTTACGTAATCATCAATAATGCAAACTTAATATTTATTATACAGTCAAAGTATTACCAGTTTAAAGTAAATTTGAGTTCGATTTTTACATATAGCAACATGGCCGAGTTTTTATCTTAAAAGGAAATTCTATAATGTAATCTATCAAGTAGTTAAATTTGCCTATTAATATATCTAAAAATACTTTTAATAGACGGTTAAAGGAATTTAATCAGTTGCCATGAGCAAAATTGCTCGTTGCCGATTTTTGTACACTGCCTGCCGGTATTATAATCATAATCCAAGTCATTTATTCAGTTTTGGCTGTTACAAGCACTCTGAATGTCTAGAAGCTATGCCTACTACTGCTACGCTTAACAAGTGATTTGTAATGGTCGATTTAAATTTAGTCAGGCTTAACTCTTGTATAATTCTTGGGATTTTATTGTAAAAGCGAACACAAAGACCTCTAAATGAATTATTACTTTTGTGGAGCCTCGTAGCAGGTAAAGTTAAATTATTTTACTTCTAGTATTAAGTGTATGTATTTCACTATTTTTAGTAAATAAATTAATATTTCTTTTAACAAACACTATGTTCACATATATGTACTGTGAAGCAACCGTCAATATGCCTATTTCTTTAAACTTATCTCTTAAAAAATCCCTAACTTTAAGATTATAAATTGATCGAATAGCACTCTTCTGCAACACAAATATAATTTGAATGTCGGCGGCATTTCCCCATAGTAAAATACTGTAAGACATTACACTATGAAAATAACTAAAGTACTAATCTGGCAGTTTTTATATCGGTTAACTGTCATACTTTCATTACAGAATATGCTGCAGAACTAAGTCTCTTCGACAATTTGTCAATACGTGGGCCCTAAAGCTTAAAATCTAGTGTAATTCTTAGAGCACTGTGGTATCTACAAGGCTCATATGTCGATCCTTTATATTTACATTGGTTTTTACCTGTTTGACATTAGGTTATACAAATTTCAAACACTTAGTTTTCCCTACATTTAGCAGCAAATTATTAACATTGAACCAGTGGACTACCTTAGACTACGTCGTCAAATTGTGACTGCCTACGTTAAATTTTAAACAAAAGTGAAATGTCATCCACAAACAATAATATTTCGTGGTTATCCTTTACAAAAAAGGGCAAGTCATTGATATATTTTAAAAATAAGAAAGGATCAAGGATTGAGCCCTGCGGAACTCCCATCTTAACCAACGAACCAGGAGATTTTTCTCCATTGATGTCAACCCTCAAAATCACTCAAATACGATACAATAATTATTAAATAAATAATAATTTAAATATTTCCAATACTCACACCAATTAGCCTAGCCCCAAAACGGTTTGTGTTACGGGATACTAGGGTAATGGATAGAATACATATAAAGTACATACATAGGTATATTTTTATAGAAATACATATTAAACATCCATGACTGGAGTACAAATGCTCGTATTCATCACACAAACATCTGCCCCCACCGGGATTCAAACCCGGGACCTCTCGAGTCGGCGACACCATGCAACCCGGCGTACAAACTATTCGGCCACGGAGGTTGTCAAATAAGATCCTGAGTGGTATTTCTAAATCCATAGTGGTGAAGTTATGATGATATGAAAGCTCCAGTCGCGAGAACATAACGTAGGTAGTAGTATTATAAGAATACTTATCTTTTTCCAAGGATTTGTGTTACAATTTTTAGGTACTCATTATCGCAATCATATAGTTTCTTTGAATTCATCGCATGAAATAAGGTTGCGAAAAAATCTCATTCGGTAATATCCAAAAAAATGCGTGTACTTTATACGAGTAAATTCTTCGTCAACGGATAGATGAACAAAATAAATTAATTCTAAATTTGCCTTTTACCTAATACCTTGCCTAATACAAGTGACGTTTTTAATTAATTGGGACTTTACTTTTTTCGATTACGTTAATTTTGGTAATATGATGAAAGGAGAACGAGTAATTTTCTATCAAAAAGAGAACTTTTTAAGAAAACTTTCATAAACTTACGTCAAAACGCACAGTATTTCCTACTTCCTACTAACATTATAAATGTGAAAGTTTGTATGTTTGTTAGTCAATCACGCAAAAAGGTACGGGTATAGTTTATGGCCTGGATTGAGAGATAGAATACTTTTTATTCTAGAAAATGTTTGGTTCCTGTGGGATTCTCGAAAAACCAAAGTTAACGCGGACAAAGTCACGGGCGGCCGCTAGTATACAAAACGTAAGGCAGAATGGCAAGCAATCGCTGTGACGTAACGAGTCAATATACATAGACATCGATTGAGTTGTATCATTTGCATATGACATGCATGATGCAAACATCAATACCTACATAAATCATTACTCGCTCTGCTAACACTTGCCGGTTGTTTGAGCCCTGTTGATCATAAGGTACTTCACCACTTGGGTAGTATCCGTAGCTTAATTTCTCAACAAATCGATTTCTTCATCTTCATGGTTTTCCCGACAATTGTTTTCACAAACCTCACGTTGACACCGAGAAACAAGTCATATACTTGTTTTACACAAAACTTGTAAAATACTTGTTGTAACTGTTTAAAACATTATTTCGTTTACACTGCATAAACAACTAGTATCTCTACAAGTATAAATCATTAATTACTTCACAGATTTTTTTTATCCAACAAGTTTAATGCAAGATTGTATTCTATATGTTTTATACTTGTATATAAGTGAGAACAAAAAATTAAGACATTTTATAAAATTTGTTAAATACGTGTATCATACCTTGGTGTAACTAAATGAGGGGTTACAAGTTGGTTTTGGGTTGAGCAAAAACTTTATTACTATTTTGTTGTTGATGGTACAGTAGGACGCCGATTATCCGAATTAATTGGGACCGGGGTCGATTCGGATAATCGAAAATACGGATAATCGGACATAGACAAGTAATAAAGAAAAACGAACTGCCACACATAGAATAAACTTTATTACGTTTAACAAACACAGTTCTACAATACTAGATACAATAATAGAGGTACATAGTAGCAAAACAAAATTAAGAACAGTAAAACATGTAGTGTCTTGCCTCTAGCTTTCAACCATTAACAGTTGATAAAATATATAGGTATTTAACATACTCGCTGGACTTTAGCAAGTTCCAACTTATTAGAACAAAACAAAAATGACTTGGTTTTAATTTTTTATATTACGCTTAGGACCGATTCGGATAATTGGCGATTCGGTTAATCGGCGTTCGGATAATCGGCGTTCTACTGTATTTGTTATCGAACTCCTCCGAAAGGGTTTCACCAATTTTATGTTCTTTTTGTGTATATTTAGTAATTATATCTAAAGATAGGTCGTAGACTATTTTTATACCCTTAGCTGATAAGGGTTTACTCAAAGGTTTTTTTCTACAAGAGTTCTTTTATGATTTGGCATCTAAAAATGCTTATAACCCTCTTTTTACCCTTCTGCCAACAACTCCTATTTTCATAGTACCTCTTCAGTTTTGGTTATGTAAAATTAGCAGATAGCCTATTCCCCTTTTACTTCCAAACTATTTGGTAGATTTCTACTGTCTCTCTTTCAGTAATGTAAATAATGATATATATATCTAATGTCGTCGTCCGATACTATAACTGAGCAGTTGTGTTGCAATTTGATCCGATAGTTTTGTTTAGTTTTACCTGTAAAAAGCTTAATTCTGAAGTCCGAATTGTGTGTGACTTGTGGATTGAAGCAGGCTTATCTTTTTGGAAAAGTCAGTTTTCAGATGTACTGCATCAGAAGTACAGTCTAAGTGAATATTTGTGACGAAGTGTATTTGCTGTGAATACAAGTTGAAAATCATCTACCTTCAAGTTTACTGTTAACAGCTAATATCAAAAGCATGAGAAGAGTGCTTTATCTATTTTCGACGCAGTCACATAAGAGCGAATGGTGTGGTGCAAATAAGTTTAAGAGTCCCAAGTTCAAATCACATCACTTTTTTATTGCTTATTTATTTTTAATGCTTTTTTTATAGCTTTTTGTGATTATTAAAAACAAATTATAATAAATATATACATATCTAATATATAATTACATTGCTTCAGCAATTGCTGCATTTACATTTGTGTAGTTCAGAGTGCACGGAATTCCATTTTCTTTTTTTTCTATATATACATATTCATTGGACTATTTTTACTAAAAATTTAAAATATTACTTTAGATAAAACTAGTTTAAACGGGATAATGCACGAAACTTTATTTATTTATTGACGTTTCGTAGCCTTTACAGGCTTCGTCGTCAGAATAAAACTTTTGTTTAATTATCCCGTTTAAACTAGTTTTATTTAATGAGTGATGTGCGTGAAAACCTAAGAAACAAATATATTACTTTAGTTTAGAAACTTATTACATTTATTATTCAAATTTTGCTATGGATAAGAACTTTGGAGATGTATGCTGTGTGAAAAGAAATATGACCTCCAATGTGCTAAGGTCTCTCTTCATAGATACCGCAGTTTTTACGCCCAGAATGCGGAAAGAAGCCCCGAGTGCCTCAGCAAAGCTCCCAAGGTTGATAACACCAATACTCCCGTACAATCCACTATCCATCGTGAAATAACAGCTGATTGCCGAAAAGAAGATAACAGTAATGTCACAATACATACGAAACAGGAGCGTCGGTTCACCTACTGAAGTGGTTGCAGAGAAGGGGGTTTGTAACGTAAACTTCATAACTGAAGAGCGGCTCCGTTCTATTTTAGCTGAAACCCTGCACTCGACAATAAAATCTCTGGTTACTTCTGAACTCAAATCAATAAATGACCAGGTCAGCGAGCTTCACGAATCATTTACTTTCTTTAATGCTAAATATGAGGGAATGAAAGCTACTTTAATGGAGAAAATGGCAGTAATCGATGCATTGCAGAGTGATAACATTAAACTTAACTCAGCTGTGTCCAGCCTTTCTTACAGACTAAATATGTTGGAGCAAAATATGAGAGAATCTAACATTGAAATTAATGGAGTTCCTAAATTGAAATTGGAAAATTTGTTTACTACAGTGGAGCAACTAACTAAAACTATAAATGCTCCTATCATCAGGGAAGATGTATTGAAGGTCACGCGTGTTGCAAAGCTCAACAAGGACAGCAAAAAACCTCGTGCAATAGTGGTTTAACTACGTTCGCCTAGACATAGGGATGAGATTCTAGCAGCAGTAATAAAATTTAACAAAAAGAATGTTGCTAATAAACTTAACTCCCATCATCTGGGCCTCGGCGGACAGTGCGAGCAGGTTTACATTAGTGAACATCTCTCCCCTGAAAATAAAGCATTACACGCTGCCGCTCGTATTAAAGCCAGAGAGATGAAATACAAGTTTACATGGATAAGAAATGGTACAATTTTTGTTCGAAAAAAAGAAAACAGTCAACTCATTCTTATCCACAATGAAGACAGCCTAAAACTTATTAAATAAAGCCTTTTATGTCGGAAATGTTGTGGTGTGTAACGGCCTAATAGTGGATATCTACTATCAAAATGTTCGTGGATTGAGAACAAAAACCAATGATGTCTATCAAATGATTTTGCTTAACGATTATAAAATTATTGTCTTCACTGAGACCTGGTTGAACCCCAATATTGCAGACAGTGAAATTGTAGACTCACGTTACATAGTATATAGGAGAGACCGTGATTTTTCCAACAGTTCCAAATTGGATGGCGGTGGAGTGTTGATCGCGGTGTCACGGGATTTTGAATCTGTACGCCTTTGTAATTGGGAGAGTAACTGTGAAGATCTTTGGGTTAACATTAGATTACGTTTAAATGGTCGATTAGTAAGTGTTTCAATTTGTGCAGTTTATTTGCCTCCACCAGCCAATGTGGAAAAGCAACAGTTATTCCTTGACGGCGTCGACGCTGTTTTTAATGGAACAGATTCTGATGTAACAGTTATTCTGGGGGACTTTAACTTGAACTTCATTTCCTGCCTGCCCACTGATGGTTTTACATATACAACTCCTATCAATTACGAAAATAGAATCGGGTTTTCTTTGGTTGATTTTATAGCGCTAAATAACATATTCCAAGTTAATCATATATGTAACGCCGATGGTAAAATATTGGATCTGGTCCTGAGTAGCGTCGACGGTGTCGGGGTCTCGAGGCCGTTTGAAGACTTGTCTAAGATTGATAAATACCATCCAACTTTGCAGGTCACGTTACCCCTACATTGCAATAAAAAGAGTTTGAGTAATCGTTCTGCTCAACGCAGTGATTTTAATTTCTATAAAGCTGATTATAACGTGATCAAGGCACAATTGAAAAACATCGCATGGACCGAAGTTTTTCATGGTTATACCGAAGTGGACCAGATGGTTTCAGCTCTTTACTCAGAAATAAGGAAAGTTATCGATAATGTGGTTCCAAAACGTCAACCCAAATCTGTTAGATATCCCATTTGGTTTAACAAAAGTCTTATTAAACTATTGCGTCAAAAAGAGAAAAGTAGTATTGCATACCGAAAATTCGCAAACCCCAGTGACAGAATTGAATATGAATTACTTAGAGAGCGCAGTCATAACCTTATCAATAAATGTTTTAGTGAATATAAACAATAAATGGAGGATAATATCTGCAGTAACCCTAAAGTATTTTGGAGGTTTATTAAGGACAAACGAAGGGGTTATTCCTCATTTCCAAGTATTATAAAAAAGAATGATGTTGTGGCTGATAATGGACCTGATATAGTAAACCTGTTTGCTAATCATTTCTCGTCGGTCTACACTACGGATGATGCCCCAATCCAGCGGTATAGCCATGACCCTATCCTAACCAGTTGCAATTGTTGCAGATTAACTTTCTCGGAGTCTGATGTGGCCGGGCGTATCAAGCGCCTAGACGTACAGAAGGCGTGCGGTCCAGATAATATACCACCTCTCTTTGTAAGACGCTGTGGTGCAGTCTTGGCTTTACCACTCACATTGATATTCAATAGGTCCCTTTGTGATGGTGTATTCCCTATTGAATGGAAAAGCACTAGAGTACTACCCATACATAAAAACTCTGATCGCACATTGGTTAATAATTATAGTCCAATCTCAATTTTATGTTGCTTCTCAAAGCTCTTTGAATCCCTGATTTTTCCGCATTTATATTCTCACCTTGAAGGAAGTCTTACGGATTTCCAACATGGTTTCCGAACACAATTAGACACAAATCTCGCTTCATTGGTGTCTTTTTTATCACAAGAGGTTGACAAAGGTAGACAGGTGGATTCCATTTACACAGACCTAAGCAGCGCCTTCGACAAGGTTAGTCATAAGATTTTATTGCACAAACTTGAAGGAAGCGGCGTGGGTGGATCCCTCTTGAACTGGTTTAGGTCATACTTAACAGGAAGAGCCCAGAAGGTAGTAGTTAATGGGTTTGAATCGAAATCTTACTATGCTTTGTCTGGTGTACCTCAGGGTTCTCATTTGGGCCCCATCCTCTTCTTGTTGTTTGTTAACGATGTGGTGTCATGCGTAAAATATAGCAGTATTTCTTTGTTTGCCGATGACCTAAAAATTTTTCGTACAATAAACACCCCAAAGGACTGTGAACTTCTTCAAACTGACCTTAATAGTATCAAAGAGTGGTGCGACAAAAACAATATGGTAATGAACCCGAATAAGTGCTGTTGTATTAGCTTCACCAGAAAAGTGAACCCGGTTGAAAATTCTTATACGCTGGGCCCTGAAATACTTACCAGGCAGAGTGAGGTGCGAGACCTTGGTGTAATACTCGACAGCAAACTCAAATTTACCGCCCACCTGAACGCGATTGTAAAGAAATCTGTCCAAATGTTGGGATTTTTAAAGCGAAACTTGCGTGGATTTAAACTTGCTAGATCCAGAATTGTACTTTTTAATAGTCTAGTCCGTAGTCGCCTCGAGTTTGCTTCTGTCTCATGGAACCCGGGATATAGTGTGGCCTCTCAACGAATTGAGAGTATACAGAGTGCCTTTACGAGACATCTGGCATTTGTTACTTCCGGTATCTCACACAGAAAACCCTACGAGTCTCGATTAAACCTGTTTAAAATGAACACCTTAAGAGTGCGTCGCAAGATTGCTGACGTGATTTTTCTTCACAAAATTTTAAATGGTAAAACAAGTTGCTCTAAATTTTTATCTTCCATCAAGCTAAATGTTACCCACGTCACGCTATTCAAAAAAAATTCTGTATCCCTCGCCATCGAACAAAGTTGGATTTGCATGAACCTCTAGCTAGAATTTGCTCAGCATATAATGAGATTGGCGCCAAAGATCCAAGCATAGATATATTTGGTGATGGTCTTGTATCCTTTAGGGGAAAGTTGCTGAAACACTTTGGCACAACAAATAAATAAATAGCGAAATAATCTGTTCTTCTTTTGTATGTATGTATTTGAATAAATTAGCGCGGTCCATCAATTTATCCATAATATAGTCGTTTAAAATACATAGATTTGTGATCAGGTCAATCAGTTGAATTGTATCAAGTTGTTTATTAACATTATTGTGATTGTTGTATATGCTTGTAATTGGTCTGCATATAAGAAAACTGTATAGTATCCGACCTATTCATTAATGTATTAATATGTGTGACTGTTAGCATGCCTAAATAAATAAATAATGAAACATCTCCAACCTACTACTATTCCAAAGATCTTTCTGATATACGTATTTTTAAATGAAATTGTAAAGACATGACATTTTTATTATAATCATGCCTCTATTCATGTTAACGGCTCATTTCGTGATAAATTTAGCATGTAGCGGCTTTTAATAGTTGCTTATTATGTTATTCTTATGCTAAAAACACGGAAATAGAATCGCCATTGTAAGGACTTCTTTTATACTGACGACCCGTATTAAGGAGCGATCACATTTAACGATGTGGAATCCGCTTGAGCCGGACGGGATAAAGCTTTATGTTCATGCGATAAAAGCAAAAAAAAAGAAATCGTTCCGCCCCATTTCGGACAACGTGATGCGGCTTGATAACAATCAGCAACAAATTGCATTGTGTCAAAAGTGCAATCTTAAGCAACTGCACAAAATCTGCAGCGCTGAGGTTTGAACTGCTTGCAAAACCTAGCCCAAGATTGCAAAGCATTGTGTCATAATCAGAGACTAGGACACAATTTTTCTTGCAGAATCTAGCCCGGGATAGCAACTTATTACGACATATTCTTATGTCAGATACACAAATACAATTTTGGTTGCAAAATCTAGCCAAGGATGCGCAAGAAATTATTTCATCTTGTACCTCAGACTAAGATCCACTTCGTAAGGTATAACGTCACCTTATATCAGACACTAATGCTCTTAGCGATAATAACGCCAATCGTGACATTTGCAACGATTCGGTTAAATTTAATGTTATTTTTTACTGTTGCACTACAGGGTTACAAGAAAAGTCGATGTAGATATTTAAGGATATTATTATTGAGGTCATTGCTGATAGGTTTGTTTATTTGCTGTGGCAAAAATAGGTACTTTACCTATTTTTGCTCTAATTTTGTTTATTTACTTTTATTCGTCTCTTGGGTTAGTCTTTTAATTGTTTTTATGTAGGAGGCATGACAGTCCATAAAAATACATTATAATTGAACTTGAAAAAACTGTTATCGGGTTAAAGTGTTAGTATATTTCATAGTATGAACTTATATTTTTTACTTCGTTTTCGCAAATTTCCGATAGGTTTATTAAAAAAAAATGTATGAAAGTTAACCTGCAAATTATAATAACAATTTACAAATATTTTCTAACTATCGAAAATGGTATAGAATTCGAAGTAAAGTAGGCAAATCAACACTGAAATGAAGAAGAAAGTGGTCTCAGACCATTACAGAAATAGGTCAAATGGTCGAATCTATCATCAGTCACCTGAATAATAATATCCTCAAATATCTACGTCGACTTTTCTGTAACCCTGTATTTGGTGTTTTATTAAAGGTCTTATCTATCTGTCTACACGGAATACTGCGTAGAACGAGGACGCAATATTATCTATTAACTTCTTTGATGACGTGCAAATAGTTCCAATAACGGCAACAAAAGCTCTCTAGAACATGTCGCATCGAATTTCTGAAAAAAATACGGCACTCTTGATCCCACACATAAGCAATTGACTCCTGAAACTACAAAG